TCCACCATTGGGAGTTACAGCAATAAGACGCTTAAATGTGTTCGTGTGCTTGTATGAAAAGAAAGTGTTTCCTTGCCTAGCAAAATTCCTGGAACGTTCTACTCTAAACTCAGTACAGTCAACAATACATCGTATTTTCCTCATGGTTTTGAAAACTTTGGGGAGGAACCTGCAAGGTTGGGCTCTCTGGGGAAACATGAACTGTTGCATGTCTCTGAACGTTACATACATAAGCTGAAGAAAGGTTGTGAAAATTTTGCGCACATAAGATGGATCAATTCTTCTTTCTGGTGTACTGAGAAGAGCTGCAAGAGTCTTGAGAGTAAATCCTCTCCTAAGTCCCAGAAGGGAAATAAGAGCTTCTCCCCTGACGGAAAATCACTGTTTGGGCCAGTTCTTGTAGTTTCCGTTGCGGGGTAATCTTTACTGTTCCAATAGTTTGTGGTCTCCAAAGGACAAACATCGTCTAGAAAATTATGCAAAATCTCAAACTGCGGAGATGAGAGGCCAATGAAGTGTTTCATAAGACTTGCATCTCGCACGATATTTTCGTAAGATAGAGTACTTACTATTTTGGGAGCATGAGGTTTCCTCGTGGCAACATCATTCTTTAAAATCATGGTCTCGACCTTTGCGGATAACTCGTATTCAGAATACAAAGTCTGAGAGCCTCGATCAGAAACCAGCTTTCCTGTGGAGTTCTCATACACATGTGGCATCGTATTACAGTCTTCATCGATTGTAGATTCGTTGAGGTAACCTTCGTAACGATGGCATCGACGGTCGATCCAGATTCTAGTGACTCGCGAACGACATGCATACAGTTGTTCAGTAATTGTTCGCCACAGTTTTTGTCGTTTAACCTTCCTTTCGTGGTGACTGGTTCCGCTCTTGATCTCGAAGCTTTTCTCTTTGGAGCACATGCTCGACTTGCTTGAGCTGTGTTAGATTCGCTTTCAGCGCATCAGGAAATTCAGTCGTGGGACCTTTTTCTCCGGGCCAGTGAAGAGCACAAATATAAGTATTTCTGGTAATATTTTTCACTGTAAATAATTCCCGGGAACAAGCTACTAGCCAACACTTGCACTTAGCAATGTCTTGCGACGGTTTTGAGAACGGTATGAAGACTTCCTTGCCCAATTCCTGTAACTCTTTGAGAGATTTTGCCCATTTGTCAGGATACCTCGAGTCCATTTTACACTCACCCCAACAGCAGTGTTTGGTAGAAACCATTTCTTGTCTCTTTAAGTGTTAACTCTACGATTTGACCGAGTTTCTGCATTTTTGTTTTACTGTTGCGACCCTCGCACGTACATTTGCCTTTAGCACATCGAAATGTTTGTCTGAGTCTGTGCGGGGGGTCTCATGGGACAAAATCTACTTTTAGTGATAGTGCACAACGCTATTACAGGCCGGAGTCTTTCACTGTTACTCTGTTAAAGGTGATCAGAACGAACAGAGGAAAGACTTGCAAAAAATAAAATATGAAAGTTCGCGATCAACGTTTCTACGTGAATCGGCGACGCGCTTATGTGTTACAAATCACACGAAAGGTTGATTTCCACAAGACACAATCATCGTTCGATGTTATTTAGTTACACTGGCCAACTTTTTATAATTGTAGAGCGAGACATGTTGAATATAAGCTTTTTTGCTTCTTTGTACTGCTGTATATGTATATTAAAAGTAAACCTTCGCAATGAAAGTTCAAATCAGCGGCGCATAATACCACGATGCCTGGCGTGTTTTTGCTTCGCATAGGGTGAAACGTTCGTGAAAGAAAATGTGCCTAAACTGTCACTTCTCGCAACTTAAATACTGCCTCGTCTCAGTCACTTGGTAAGACTTTTTTTTTCCTTTTCGATTTTAGCTTTGTGATCAGAATTATATCTCGTAGGTAACTCTAGCTTTACATCGCGTACGGCTTGCCAGCTTGTAATCCACGGTTGAGGCTTATTATTGAAGTACCAGTCACCTCATTGAGTACGTTTAAACATTGGTTTCTCTCGTTGTTATGAGCGCTTTACATGTCTGTCCCAGACATGTAATATTTCAACGCGAGATGTAATAACTTTTCGAACGCATCATGCAATGACAAAAAATGTAATAACTTCTTTAAAGGACAATCGAAAAACACAAAAGGTGATACAAGAAGGTAAATGAAGTCAAAGTACTAGATCTCAGGTATACAGGAATCTGCACAAGTCATGTGTATTCAAGCATATTCTCGATCAGGATAGATGGTCATGTTGTTTTCTTCGCAGGGATACCTTCTAAAGTAACAATTAA